GAATGCGACTTAATTTATATACATGCGAATGTATTTGAGTAGAATTTATAAAAGATACCTTCCTTGAATTCCTCAAACTCTATTTAACAGTACGTTTCCCCAAACACACTGCGTACCCGAAGACTAAGTCAATAGATTAACATCTATAATAAATCTTATCTGCAAATATCATATCTTTGTGATATTAGACAATAAGAGACAACATTGAGACAGAGTGAAGTCGTGTTAGGACTATAAATATTTACCTACTCCACCGACAATGGGTTCGTCCTGCCGGAAAGTCATCCCAGGAGAACAAAATACATATCCCCTGCATAGTTCAGTTATCGAATAATACACATTAAACCTTATACTGCAACTCAACGACATATTACAGGTACATGGTGAGTATTTGATTTCTACCAACCCAGGAGATGCAATGGCATCAATTCGGCTTGCTCTATGTATATCAGGTGCCTTGCAGACGTACAAACAGACATATAACATATGATTAACATATATAAGAATCGATTTTGCAATGGTATTATATCTGATAATGACTTAAAAGGCATAATGGATGAATCCATGAAACATCGTCAGTTAAAATTGAATATCATTTGTAACAATGATAAAACCAAAGGAGAGAAATTATAAGTTGATGTGATCCTGATAAATTTGCAATCGTTATATTCATATTTTCTGGTCCAGTTTGAAATGCAGCATTCTCGGGTCAAAGGAATTTGGTATAACTGAAACACGCAACCCACTCATCGGAACCTAAAGTTAGTGATATTTTGGAAAAGCATTGTTTGATATTTGAAATACTTCTCGAAAACGCGCCATTTATTGTTGTAAAGTGCAGAAGGCGGAACTCAAAAAAGATTTGCTTGAATGCAAATATGCATCATTTTCCCTTCGTATTAAAGAATTATGTTTCTGTACTATTGAAAAACTGGTTTACAATTTCGTTTATTTAATTTCATGCAAGAGCATACACTTTTGAAACAAATTACTTAATGCACTTCATAGTGTGCTTTTTTTGTTTGTTTTTTAGTAGAAGAAAGGAGAAACATATTGTATTTGCATTTGTGAACTTACTTATTGCAATAGTCAGTTTCCGGAACTTATGCTAGGTATCTGAAGAACAAATAAAAGCGAAAGCGTGACTTTCAAGTCAAGATGTTTTTTAAAGAAAATTATGTGGAGTTTATAAATAGGACCTTCCTTGTGGCAGTGTAAAAGTTGTGCCAAAACTTCTATTTACTTACTCCCCAACAGTGGGTTCGTCCCGCCGGGAAGTCATACCACAAGAACAAAATACATATCCCCTGCATGGTCCAACAGTAAAATTAATACACATCTGACCTTAAATTGCGACTCAATCACATGTACTATGTTCTTGGTGAGTATTAGATTTCTACCTACCCAAACGAAACAATGGTGTCAATGACGTATGTTCTATGTATGTCAAAGACCTTGGAAAGGTCGTATAGAAGACACCCATACCTGACTAACACATGTATATATAAATGATATTACAGTATACAACGTATAATGACTAATCACATATATTCTGGATGAAACCTGATTAACTCGTTTTGACTGCCATTCGTTACACATCCCTAACATGCAAAGGATTGTGTAAAAGTGAATGAAATCTTTTGAATACAAATTAAGCAACATATTCAGTATATGCAATTTCTGATTTCAAATGCATCATTAAGATGTTTCGTCCTTCTATATGCAGTGCCGCTAGGTGCCTAATTGATGTAAATATGAGGCAAGTAAGTAAAATTAAATTTTGTCAAACCAAATCGTCGCTATGCATTATTTATTTTTCCCAAAAATAAATTTCAAACTTATCTCCTTTTGTTTTAAGTAAGGTTCATAACTAAAGCGTGTAGTAATGTTTTCCTTGTTTCCTTGATTTTATATGCAAAACATTCTTACTTCGTTTTTTTTTTTTTTTTTTTTAACACGAAATATATTTAGGTGTACATATGTAACCCTGGTAAAATACTAACCGCAATATACCACTCGGCTAGAGAGAACGTCTTTTTAGCTCGATTGGTGAACGTCAGACGTAAGTAAGAAAGGGGTCCCGGGTTCGATTTCTAGCGGAGGTATTGAAATAAATAATGACCTCTGTTACATTGGCGTCCATGTAGAGACATGGGAATAGTATTTAGCCATGCCCCACCAGCATCTCTGAAACCCCTGGGAACTTGAGGAAAGTTATTTCCTGGAGAGGAAGTATGTAACCTTGGTAAAATACTAGCTGCAATATACCACTCGGTTAGAGAGAACTCGATTGGTTCAGCGTCAGACTAGTAAGCCAGGGGCCCCGGGTTCGATTTCTAGAGGAGGCATTGAGATAAAAAAATGACCTCTGTTACACATGAACAAAAGAATGCACATGTTTCATTGTAAAAGAAATGGTCTAACATGAGAAAGGTTTGTGCTGAATTTTCATGTGACTTTTTATATGTGTTACAAAGTTATTGATGACAGTTTTTTCTGTAAAAACCAAGCAATATATTCACATTCAAAAACTCGCGCTTGATACGTCACGCAAATATCAATATGTTTGTAGGGGGATTATTGGTTAGTGAAATAGTATACGACCAGTAGGTCGGCTTGACGCCAATTTCGTAGTTTGATCCCTGTTTAAATAGTAATTATATGACCATATAAGTAGATATTTAAGTTAATTAATATGTAATTAGGCTTAATTAGTGACACCCGTAACTTAAGTAGGGTCCACAACGTGTTGGTAATAAGCAGGGTCCACGACGTGGTGGTAATGATACCCGGACAGAAATATCTTGAAGGAAGGAAAATTGATGCTAATGGAGGCAATAGATAAACAAGAATCAAAACTTAAGATCTCTAACGGGGGAAGGGGGGGAGGTACTGGTTTATTTGAAATATTAATGCATTATCGAGTATTCTCAACAATCACATCGTGTATGCTGTATCTTTATCTAGTTACAAAATATATCGTTTTATTAAATATTACACGTGTCATCCGTAAAATGTTTGTGCCAATTCAAAATATTTTCAACAATCTGCTATTTGGCGATCTATAGTTTTATACTATTCCTAAGTTCTTTCATTTCTGAAACAGATCAATCGTTTCTATTGGCGCAGTGTTGCAGGAAGATATCCTGAATTGATAAACAGAACAAGACTGTCATTCCTATGAAAAACAAAACTGACATGGTGATAGTGAACTTGTTTTGCAAACTGAAAACCGGAATTCCAGCGACGTAGGCTGGCAAAATTCTGTGTTACTTAACAAACTATAAATGCATCAACATTGAAAATATACATGCTAGGGTTGTTATCATCTCATTCCTTCACCTATGTTATTTGCGGCATTAGAAGTACAAGTTAGTTAAGGTAGCAGATCAACACAACATTGGTCTTCCTGTGTACTAAGACATTCGCTGTAAACATTACGACACCTGATTAGGGTTTCACGGTAAAATCATTACGTGATAACCTTTAAACAAAACGATCAACTTTTTTTCTGGAAAAATGCTTTCACTAGTCATGAATATTAAATCCCTTATACAAATAACAGTGTGTTTATAAAGGATAGCCACAAACCATACACGTATTAGGTTCCAAGAAATCCAAGATGAATTCTTATTTTAGATCCAGTACTTGTTTTATATAAATTTTGTGTAACTAATTTCGTCTGTAACAATACCATGTACGTGTGAATCATCATGTGTATTTCAGTGACATTTTTAGCGGGTATAGTACAAACAGTGAGTTAATTATCTAATATGACAAAGCATATGATTAGAAAGCAACATGAGCATGAGTAATTTTCCTTGTGTTTTTCGAATGCCTTCTTGTTATTTCAAGATATTCCTAATTTCCATACATGGATTGATCAAGATACACATTAAGGTATAACACTTTCATCCTACTGGAAGACATGGTCTGATTATCCCCGTACTTTCTACACGAGTTGCTGTGCAAATCTTTTTATTGTATTCTGTTATATTTTGTCCTAGTTTAATAGCATTTGAGTTTGAATGAAGCTTCTGTTGACATGTTGGTCCAGTATTTTTTGAGGCAATATATTCTAATTTCTGATATTTTATTGATATATTTTAACACAACATGTGCATCTACTTCAAAATTCCTTTTTATTTACGTACCAACATATGCGTGGCATGAGATAGCTATGGCCTTATCCAGGTCAATAGTCTAAGCGTTAAATTGACATAACCATTTATGAACCTTTAGACCAACATTTTTGTGCCTTGACCTTTTACAATGTATTGAATTCATTGTGTTAGATACGGTGCTTTCAGTTACAGACCTATAGCATATCAATAGTTCAACCTCGTGTCAAAAATACTTAGATGGCACATTGAGTGACACACAATAGGACCCCCTACGAAAAAAATATGAATCAGCTAAAAAATTGAGCATGCAACCACCAGCATAGAGGTTATAAACAATTGGAATCTAATCGATAACTATCACCTGCTTCGTAGTTGCCGGGGAGGTGTGACTCGTAATTACTACCGTTTAATATCTTTCATTGGGGATTGTTTTAAGTATGTGGGAATTTAGACATAAAAGAGAAGATATATTTCACCACCACAAAGTACCTTTTGTTTCTTGACTAGGGTAATATTTCTTACACCCATGCGGGATATTGCTATGCAGGAGAGAAGAACTGAAACACAGCTAGATCGGGGGGGACCGTATCACATAATCTTAATGCTAAAACACACCTCCCATACAATCACCTGACACAGACGTCTACCTGTCACATGTGTAACCGACTCCAATCCGATGGTACGTATTTTCTACACCAGGTGTTTTATAAAGAGGTGTGTACTCGACCGGCAAATTTATACACCTACAATGACGTTAGGAAGCCATTCATACGAACAGAGTATAAAACACAGCGAAAACATAAGTTACAGTCATTCTTATCGAGACAGCGAACTGTAAACTTGGCTATCCGTGATTGTATTCCTTAACATACTAACATGACGTCCGTGGTGATATCAGCATCCGTCAGCGACAGAATCAATGAAGCGCTGGCAACGCTAAAAACAGAAATGGTATGTATTAATTTTTATATATTGTAGAGTTTTTTTGTGAAATCTTTTTAAACATATAGTGTTTACATAAGTTTCCAATTTTTTTTTTTTTTTTTTTTTGTCGTTCGTAAATTTTGTATTACATCCATATAGAAATATCATTAATCAATGTTTCTCTTTTATAATCAAGGTGAATTTGAGACAACAAGATGTCCACTTGATGAAGCAGTTGATTGGTATAAACGATACTATACAGAAACTATCCAAACAGCGACCCGGTTCACATAGTCCACATAAGGAGAAATTCACGATACCAAACGGACGACGAACGTTCGTAAACAAGACTGAATCCATCCCTGAAGAGACCCCCCTTGTCCGCCAACAAAGTGTTCCTAACTACTGTACAATGAACGGCAGCCTCAACGGATCTCTCTCCAGCATTGAAGGTAATTCAAATTAATAACTCTAATTGACACGAAGTCATCTTAAATAACTTAAATTTTAATTTTTGATTTTAATTTTAAATTTTTATTTAGTTTTAATGAAAAGTGAATTTGATCTACTAATTAAGTGTGCAAGAATGATAAAAACAAATGAATTCTAATGAACCTATTTTAACATATATTGTATCTCCCTTTCAGATGTCTGCAGTTCTCTGGAAGACCTAAGTGCAGCTGAATCAGATAGTGATGACAATTTGTTTGGTTCCGATCAAAACCTTAGCGAGTCTTTCTCGTCCACCACCTCCAGGTCACGATCAGTAGCGAACACTTCAAAGGAATCTGACCTAGACTATTGTTCTTACGAGCAAATCCTGAGAAGAAACATTAAGTTGTGGAAATTCTCTCGGACGCAACAACATTGATATATATTGTATTCAAAGTTTACAATTATCGGAAAATCATTCCGGGAATATTGTATTTATGAATTGTTAAATATATGTGTTCATTTGGTAACAAATCTGATCTCAAAGTGCTGACAGAATTGCAAAACGTCACAGACAATTGTACAGTCCTTACACAGTGGGATTTGCTTTCCCACGGGGCTCTAATCAGTGAACGGAAACGGGAAAAAAACTGTGACGACAAACTTTGCAAATCTTGTTTCCATAAGTGATTATCAACCACGAGAACAGAAAATAATGACCAAACACATTTGTCTTTAAACCTGTTGAAACTTTGCTCAATCTGCCTAAAATTATGTTGTGTTCTGCTTGTATTCCTTTACAATGTCTTTCAGAGAGTGTGATTTTTAATCCATTGAATGATGGTGAAATTCAGTGTATGTTTGAATGTTGTGATATTAACGACATTGCTTGGTCATTCTTTGACCGTGTCATTGAGATATACATGTATTTATACAAATAGCAATAATGTAGACTTTCGACTAATTAGTGGTTGATAATTTAGTGTGAATGTGTACAGCAAATTAGTGTGAATGTGTACAGAACATTAGTGTGAATGTGTACAGAACATCAGTGCGAATGTGTATAGAACATCAGTGCGAATGTGTACAAAACATCAGTGCGAATATGTACAGAACATCAGTGCGAATGTGCAGAGAAAATCATTGTGAATACGCACAGAAAATGAGAGTGATGTGTACAGAAAATTAGTGTTAATGTGTTCTGACAATTAGTGTGATTGTGTAGAGAAAATTAGGTTGAATATATACGGAAGATTAGTGTGATTGTGTACAGAAAAAATGTATAAATGTTGAACAATTGACGCACTTAACCCAAGTGCACTAAAAATAAAAGTGAAAATAAAATTTGAAAGAAAGCAATGTGTTGTATTGTTGCTGTTAATAGATATTATGTCTAAAAACGGTTGTGAATAAAATTGAAACAAACGGCTGCCTGGTGTTTGAAGAACAATCATTGATCAATTGAACACGCAAGTATCACCAAACTTAATTAGTGTACTTTGTAATGAGTCACAGAGTCAATATCAGGTTCAATATACAATATAAGTCCAGCATATTGAAGTTAAATACGAACATAAAGACATGAGAAACATCCAATTTTAAAAACTGTGTGAAATCCTTAAGGACAATAAAATCATTTTTACTCGTAGCCAGCAGCTTGACATTAATGTGTGCTAGCTACTGGTTAGTCCAAGAAAAATGATTTTTTACTGATAACGTGTACATCATATGTTAAGTATTTTTAAAACTAAAGTTCGAATTTGTGTCTCATAAGTTTGAATGGTATACAGTGATTAAAACGAAAATTACAAGATGATACATCGAGGGACAAAAGAGAAAAAAAAATGATATTCGTTAAGCTGACAAAGCTTGTCATAAAAATATGCACCTTAATCTCTTTACTTCATTTATAATCTATCATACATACATAGGTTTTGTGGTACTTGTGTAATCACCGATTATACAACTGTAAAACGATGAAAAATTCAAACTGAATTACTCACGTACATAGGTCCAGTTTTTGAGACAATGACCAGTCATTTGAAAGCTTAAACATGCCTTGTGATTCAGTAAGAGGGATTTTTTAAATACTGACCAAGCATGAGTCAATATTTACATCGTGGGCGTACGTATCTAAACGGCGTTATGTCATCTGATGTGTTACATTGTAAATCTTGGGTGTTTCTTCATATACTTATATAATAATCTGATTTATGTGGTAAAATGGACATGTTACAAAATGAAAAATTTCTGCTTGAAACAGGATACTTGGTCAGATGTCGACACTGATTAGCCGTGGAAATGACATTTCTCGTATTAAATTGAACGGAATTGTTTCATTTCAAAAGGAAAATAAAAGCTTTGTGGGAACTGCGTAGTCTTTGAAAAAGAATGAATATGTGTGAAAATACACAGAGCTACAACTGGCTTATTGTACAACTCCGAGTGTGACGTGTTCCATTTTACTTTGTACACCTTTGTAAATCTCCTGACAGGTAATCTATTCAATAACTCTTGACACTTTAATAGACTAGTCAAAAGAGTAAGACATTTAAATTTCAAACATCTAATCCGTAGATACAACGTATGACTAATGCACCAGAGCCTTTACCAACGCTAGTGTTTTAAACAAAGACCGACACATAACCCTACCGAACATTCACCCAACATGCATTTTAATCTGCATTTGGTGATAAGTAATGCGGTTAAAATATTTTAACACGATCTTAATTATCTATTAAATGAAGAAAGGTTTTAACTATAATTCCATCGATCACATGCTGTGTTCACTTTAATATTTTCTGGAATACATGTAATAATTGTTTTTCTTTTACGTCACGATTGCGTGTTTAACGTCGTGTTTTAGAAATACCACCCGGAGATTGAACATAATTAATCATTCTTTAAATGCATGATGTGATCGTTGAACCCACACACCAAGCATGAAACCATTTATGTATGAAAATACGGTTGCAGCTTTCGTGCAATTAGCGAATTACTTATAACAAATTATTTCTAATAGGTAACTGCGGACATTAACCCCATAGGTAGATAAAAAAAATATGTTCAAGGGGCTTTGATGAAAAATAACAAACCTGGACATTATACTCAACATTTATAATTAGATCGACTACAGTACACTTAACATGTTGTTGTTGTTGTTGTTGCTGTTGTTGTTGTTGTTGTTGTTGTTGTTGTTGTTGTTGTTGTTGTTGTTGTTGTTGTATTTCTTTTTTTCTTCTTTTTTTTCGTATTGTTCTTTTATCATTATTATTTTTATTTTACCGAACGTATTATTTTGATACGTACGACATTTAACAATTAAACTTTGTTTACATGGTTACTGTAATGAGCGATCATCGATACGACACATAGATCAGTAATATCTATTCCCTTTACAATGTATGTAAAATACCTATTTTTGAAAATACTTTTCATTTCCATGATGCCTTATCATGCTGTTGCCTTGACAACTTAATATCTCCATGCGTAATGTTCGTGTCCATATTTCTTTATGAATATACACTATAAGTCAGTGACTTTCACGAGAGACAACATAACTGTTCATTGTTTAAACCTTGATAATGCAAATTACTCTCCATATTTATCGATCATACAAACTTTATGAATATGATTAGTATTGTAGAAAAGTGTTGTATGTTCAAATGATGTTTTTATATTCAGATTTCACTGCAAAAAATTAATGCAGTGATGAACTCCTCGGCAAACATATATCTTGGTATTTTTCCATTTCATCTAAAACCCACATTGATAATCACTGTTCTTATAAGATCGCTATCAAATGTTTGTTTTTATTCACTTTTGTCAAGTAAAATGAATTTATTTACAAAAATTGCTAGACAAGTTTTTTTTTCAACATATATTTCATCATTCTTGTTTGCTCGGATGGAAGCGAACGAGGGTCACTGTGGTAGGAAACTGGAGTACCCTGGGGAAACCCTCGTGGTCAGGCAGGTGACCCCATACCTTTTCACGTCCACAGGAATCGAACCCCGGACGGCTGCATGAATGGCGAGTGCATTGCCACTGCGCTACCCAACCTTACGTTAACAGAATGCTGTACATAAACCTGGTACAATGTATGTGGTATTGTACGCATTAGAACACCAAGAAATGAAAGAGTATGTCAAAAACGAAATTTGAGAGATATTGAAGATAATTCGCATTTTATTATTGTTTGTCCACTTTACAATGTTCTAAGAGCTCAATATATTGATAGATATCATAAAGTACGTTCATTTATGTTCAAAATAGTTAATCTTCTCTCCGCTAAAAATAAGAGAAAAAAGTGACCTTGCGATATTTCTAGTTGCTGTTTCTAAGGTTAGATCAAATATCATTACACATCCTGTTGTCCATCCTCCTTGATATGTCTGTATCCGTGTAATCGTTATTGTATTATAATATGTTATAATTGTTTATGCTGATTAGCTGAAAAGCTAAAGGCCACTAAAACAGTAAGTGTATATGTCAGATAACCTCTGGGTGTTTGATATTCTTGTTTTATCTTTGTAGGAACATACTATCCTCATCATGACGGTCTCTGATACATTGACGAAATAAAAAAAAATGGCACCATGACGTCATACGCAATATTGTCCGTACTCCGGTAATGAAAAGTTTGGTAATGTTCAATGTTTTCATTATATTATCACATCAAATTGATCATAAAACAAACAAACGTCTTTAAAAAGCAGTCTATAAAATATTTTCATGGGAATGTGTAAATTGCATCAATATATATTTTTAATCTCTCAGAAACACATGCGTGTAACATAAGGTCACTAGACACAGCCTATTAAACAAAAGACATCACAAAGTACTTACATCAGCTTTATATATTTAGAATCTTTGCCAATTTCTCAACAGATCTGGCAACATTCAAGAACAGACGAACATTATATAGAAAAAAAGATACTTTTCGTTTTTAGCAAACTACGACATATACAATAACAAGAAAACCAAAATCACCACCCTCGTTTTTTTAATTTCCATTTTAGTTATAAAAATAATGTTCTAATGTATCGTTTAACGCCACAGGTTTAAATGGTCTCCGGGTCTTATAATGATTTAATATCGGACTATATTAAGTAACTTTTTAGTTAATTTTTTTTTCAATTAAAACAAGAATAGCATGATATTGGATGTAGGCAGTAAATCTAGACGGAGTTATGGTATATCAATTACAGCGATAAGGAAGACTTAACATGGATATAGGTATTGTATTTCCAATAACAATATCTGGATCGTAAATCAGAGATAAGTTCAGACTTAACTAAGGTGATTGATTTAAATTAAATTTGCCAGATCATTCACATCTTTGAATTATTTTTATTACTTCCTCACATGTTGAAATTGAAACGCTGTCACCATGGAACGCTTGTAATGTGTTACAAAATGCTACAAAAAAATGATTTT